CCTAAGAAAAGTAAAGCAGGGGGTATGTGGGGGTAGCTGGTGGACAACAGGGGTTATGGAAAAACAGGAGCTCCAAGGTGCCTATGCCTTCACTGCTAGAAGGTTGCCAAGTCATCTTATGATCATTCAGTTAGTGGAGGAGATAAGAGTAAGTCCCTCACCATTTTAACTTCAGCAAGGTAGCCAGGGTTCAGGAAGCTGCATTTGGCTCTTCATGGCCACAAATTTTTAATCCAACAGTGTCCAGATGTTAAAAAAGGGAGAAACAAGGCTACTCTATTTAAAATCCTCCTGTCCTTAGCTAGGGGATAGCTAATGCTGAGGTACATGGGAACCAACATTTCTGTGCTTGTCACACACACAGAACTTGCCTTAAATGTAGGTGTCACTGGAGCAGAAGACTGAGGAAAATAATTGGTTTAGGCAATTCTAACACTACAGTTTCCTCTTTGTTAAAATAAAAAGTATTCAACTATAATGTTATTCTTTCTAACTATTCCCAAGGTACAGATACTAATTTAAAGCACAGCACCAGCTTAATGAAGTCTTTTGTCAGGAAATGCTTAATATCCTTCCATTTGGGCCTTACCTAACAATATCCTACTCTTATTTCAGAGGACAGAATGGACAGGTAAGTGCATCCTGCCAGGCTGAATTAGGATTTGATTTCATGTTAATACTTTACAGGTTATCTTAATACCTACTGGATATTCTGTTAACCTTCAAAGGACAATAACCCAAACAATTATTTTTTTCTAAGACACCAACCAGGTCATTCATTTACCTTCCTTGCATTCTAAAGGCCTAATTCAGCAATTACTTGGACATACTGAGGAAGGACAAACAAGGCAAGGTTTGTAGAGTCAGCATCTTTTTAAGATCAACAGATATAGTTAGGAAAACAAGACAAGTTTTAGGGCCTTCAAACCCCTCTTCGTGTCATGGGCACTTACCCATACTCCCCAAGCTCAGAGAAGCAGCCTAACTCAGTGCCAGTTCAACCCTGAAATCATTCATGTGAACAACTTTGCACAGAGCAGGGGGAAGACCCAAGGAAAAAGTTCATCATCTGGCTAATCCAAGATAAAAGCATCCACTGGTATCAGTTACAGCATAAGCAAAAGCATTCCCACCACCCTGCCCCAAACGTGTATTGTTTCCTCGGAACACCTCTGCAAGACGTGGTCTACAATCAGGTTGAACACTTCTCTGCTCTTCATCAGCCATGTTACATAAAGTCCCACAGGTCAAGGCTCACACTGAAGTAAAAGTTGCCCCAGTTGTTTCTTTTTAGCTTCCGATTTGACTGAGAAGACTTGAAAATATGAATCCCAGCACATAATTTCTGAGCTGCTGGAGCGGGGCTGAAGAAAGGCAGGCAGACAGCCCCAGTGCCCAAGTACTGCACATCCTACAACCACTCCCTATGCAAGTCTGAGCGTGTTAAAAGAAAAGTTACCTTCAGGGAGCTCTCTACTTATGATATATATTTAACATCTGGAAAAATGAAAGATATTGTCTCATCACATAGCCTGCAATATATTTATTTAGAAAGTAAGAAGGAGCATGATGAAATCATATTTTAGGGGGGAATTGAAAAAAAAAAATAATTTGAGTGGCTCTGAGATAACTTATCATGCAACCAACAATTTCCCTGAGTTAGTGCTGGTGGATCAGGCCTTTGGTCATATTCTGTTATCAGTGTAAAGGTACCTTCTCACGGAATAAAGCTTTTGTAAGTGAATAAACTAACTTGTCAATGATTTGCATAGAATATACCATATTCCACTGATGGCCGTACTGCACAAAAAGTTTGAGATTAATCTTCTGTAAGTGATGACGGACAAAGAATAAGCTAATACATCCCACAGAGTCAATCAACATTTCACCTACTTCTAAAAAATATTATGTGCAAGGCAGTGTCAACCATTGCAAAGATGGGATAATACAAAAGAAGTTCCTTCTCTCACTGCAAACTTAGTTTTGCTTTAGTGCTGTATTAATTATCCTTTCCTGTCACATGCAAAACCTTCTCACCCTGCACAAATACTGCTTTTAACCTAGCTTAGCTGTCTTTGTCTGGGGCTTAAGGCAAGAGGCTTTTGCATCACTTGATGCTCTCCTACCTCATTATGAAGAAGCTGGGTAAGTCACCTGTATACTGGTCTCTTCTCCAGCACCTTCCCCAATTTCTCCTACATGCCCAAAGGTCTTGCAGACTCTCTCTATTCATTGGGATAGTAACATTGCAGTGCAGCTCAGTTTTCTGGGACACAAAAAGATGCAGTGTCTTCCTGCACAAGCAAGTGCAGTTTCAGATCAAGCTTACAACAGTGCTGCTCATTCACAGGCTATTCTAAACCATGGATCAGGACTAAGCCACCGTCCAAAGCTGCAGAGTAAAAAAACCCTCTGCTTTTGGTCTTCAAAGCATTTTTAGTATCCACCACTTAGAACCATTTCCAGATTCCAGCTCAGAAAAGGACAATAAAAAAACTTCCCCCCCCCCCCCGCTACTGTTCCATTGCATTTGTGAGCCTTTTGAAATCCAAACTTCTGTGCAGGATGAAAATGCATCATATATGGCATTTCTAAGTGCTCTGCTGTCCCCAAAAAATTTTCAGTCCATTTTATTAGGTGATTAAGCTTATTGAAGCAAGAGATTCCAGAGCCCAAGAGCCATTGGAAGAGTTCTTTTCAATGCTGGGATGTTTCTGATTTCCAATGTGTTGCTCATATGGGATACATTGTGTAAAAAGAGATGAATTCTAGCAGAACTCATAGGAAAATACCAAACAGTGAAAGATAGGGCAAGAACTGATTTAGTAACGAACACTCCCAAAATTTTAGCAAAGGCAAAAAACTAACAGTGGAAAAGGACTTTGCAAAAACAATTTAGGCTACTAATGAGGTTGCATTATAACTGTCCTTCTGGGTCAAGGCAGATGTCCAGCTAGCTACTGTAGTCAGAAACAGATGCATAAAAACCAGTATCAGAAGCAGAGATAGTCCAAAGCCATCCTTCCCTGACATACTCTTTTAATTTCTGGCACTCAGCTGCTCAGTAACTTCCCAAGCCAAAAGGTGTGTTGTGTTCAACAGCTGAGGAGATATGTAGGGAAGCAATTACTTGTCATGCCTTGAGACATGACAAATAGTCATCCAACGACTCAAGAAACCACAGGAATTTTATCAGGAAGCAGTTTTTGAAAAAGAGAAACGGCACTTCTGCAGCCTATTTAAATTGTGGAAAACACTAGCATAGGTTGTTGTGGAGGCTAAAATTATAAGTGAGGTCAAAAGCAGTTAGATAGAATTATAGAGGATTCATCCATCTGACCATACCATTCATTAATTTATAGCTTTCTTTTGCATCATCTCCTTTCTCATCTCCTCTTCTAGCTGAAAAACCTCATTTATTTTGTCTGTTTTCCATTTCTCATCCTTGTTGTATTTCACAGAAGCAATTTCAGTTCTGCCATTTACCCTCCAGGATGATCAGAACTGCACATGAGATTCAAGATATGCCACAGAGACAGTACATGAATTTACGCTGTTTTCAATTCCTCTTCTTAGAGGTTTTAACACCATTTGTCTTTTTGACTAGCTGCAAGATATTTTCAGAGAACTACCACAGTACCTTAATGCTCTTTCCCAAGTACCAATAATTTACTTAAAGCTCTTCATTCTAGATACGTTTCTTTCTCTCACATGCCTCACTGAACTTGGGTGGATACTCTATTAAAATCAATCAATAACATACTCAAGCACTACTTACGCTAGTAACATTAAAAAAAAAAAAAAAAAAAAAAAAAAAAAAAAAAAAAAAAAAAAAGAGAAACCAAAGTAATGTTAGAACTCCACTCTAAAAAAAATAAAAGGATGCAAAAAATGTAAGATAAACAGCCACTGTTTGAATGCTGTGCTTCAAATACTCTTCCCTTATGTGAGACACTACAACCAAAGGAACGAGTGCTTTCTAATTATTTTTTTTTTTTTAATATCAGATAATGCTTCTTTGAACTGGACAGGGTCCACAGTCTTTTCCTTTTAATACAGATACATTAGCCTTTATTACATCTGCCACGGCAAATCTAGTCTTCTGATTTGTATTATAGCAAGTACTTGTGCCCTTACTGATATAAAATAGGCTTTGCTCCAAATACTTTTTCAAGCCAACACATGAATCTACAGAAGGTATAAAAACACTAACCATTTTTCTAGCAAATTTAAATTATGCAGATGTACCTAAATTAATTTCTGTGAAAAGCTCTTGAATTTTCTGATTTAAAAAATAACCTCTTCATAATTCCTCTTGAATAATTATTAAGCCATTCCCATTAGTGACAAATGTAGCAATCCCAAATTTATGGTATGTTACATAATGTTACCATTTTGCAGCACTAAATTTTATACTACTTCAAACTTAGAGAACGAATGTGTTTTCTTTAACCATGTCCCCTAAGGAGCTTCATTTAGATAAGCATATGCAACACCATCATAATAAATAATAATATCACTCCAGCCCAGTGCTAAACTCACATCCGGTCTCACACTGAATCTGAATCCTGCTTTTATAAAGGACCAGATCCCTCGAGTTGTGCAAGAACAAGGCTGATGGCATCCCAGGCCACGGGCAGAGCCTGTTCTCTCTTCCACTGATGGTAGTGCATGATTAAGCTAAGGAACTGAACTGCCCACAGGTGGATGTATCCACATATCAATCTCTTGAGATGTCAGACCTATAGGAGTGTAGCAATTGTCAGTGCTAAAGCCAAGAGAAAGAACACAAAAGCCAGAAACACACACCCCCACCAAAACCTGTTAATGACAGCAACTCTGAGATCTGACATGCCTGAATGCTGCATATTAAATCAAAGTTCTTTTAGGCAAATTTGAATCAGACAACACAAAGCAGAGAAGTAAAATTAAATGGGAGGGTAATTTAAAGAAAAATTCTGAAATACTTTCTGTCATTTGGACACTCAAAATTATTTTACCTTTTCTTTCAATGCAACTGCTGTTCTGCATCTTTTGTTTCCCATCCCTCTCCTACAGACTTTCATTTACTAGTCACTGCCGTTCATGTCTATTTATCTTGGAAGACACAGGTGCTCACAGTGCTGATTCTGATTTGATTGCTCCATATCCTGCTAAAACAACAGTAAGAACACAATCTTCAAGAGGAAAAAAAAAACCAAACCAAATGCAAAGACTCCGTGCATTCCACAATTAATAATGAAAAATAACTATCCGCTGTAGCAGCAGAAGCCCATGCTCAATAGGTCTTAAAAGTGTAACAGGACATAAAGCAGTACAGCCTAAAAGAGCTTAATGAAAGTGTAACTGAAAACATTTTCCCAAGGAGATCATGAGAAGGTGAAAGAATTGATACAGAAGAACCTGCATACTTGCAAAAAAAAAAAGTTATTTACTGAACAACTATTTACTTAAAGAACAGGTATTTCCTAGGCTGTAAGAGTAAGTTGAATCTGTGGTAGAGAACACATTGCCATCAGGGTAAAAAGCTGAAGCCAACATTTAATACATTTTCACTGTATCACACAAAATTAGAAAATTTTGACTTCTAAAAGCAGTCAGAACAGAAAATAATAGGTGAGCAGGAATATTTAAGTCAGGGAACAATGACTACACAAGATGTGTGCAGAGCCAGGAGAGCACAGGCTTCAAGCCAGGCCAAAGGAGACCTGAAGGTATCCAATTAACTAATTACTGTCTGCTAAAACAGTATTGTGAGTGTCTGGCTGATAGTGGGTTCATCCCCAAACCGTTCTCCGTACCACAGAGGGGCCATACCTGAGCCCTTTCTGCAGGGAGCTGAACAAAGCTTAAAGCCCGTACAAGCAGCATTGTCAAGTGTCTTCTGCCATTCAAGAGAAGCGGAGGAGTTGCTGCGGAAGAGCCATGTTCTTGTGACGTAAAATACCCAGGGGTGCTTCTAGAGGTTGCAAATGCCTGGGACTATTTATTCATCAGCATATTTCTCCTCAAAGCTCTACCAAAGCACCAAATTTAAATACGCTGTCAAACGTACCTGGTTCATTGTCCACGTCGACATAAACGGAGGCCTTCAGGCGCTTGCCATCTCTGTATAGGCCTTTCTACAGCAACACACACTCCTGGGGGCTTCAAGCCCTGGGACGCATTAGCCACGTACCAGCCCAGAGACCATACAGGCCTTTCCTAAGGGCCCTTAAACGCACGCGTACAACTCCTGGGTACCACAGGGAAAATCACCCCTCACGCCAGTCCCCGCGCCCACCACACACACAAAAGCACCTGCAGGCTGCCGCCCCCACTCGCTCTCCCCTCCCTCCTGCTGGCGGCGGGGGGAGGCCGGCTCCTACCTGTGTGCCGGGCCGGGGGCGCGGGGCTGCGCGGAGACCGCCCGTTGCCCGGCAACCACCGCCGCGCCCGCCCGCGGCCTCGCCACCTGACCCGGGACAG